GTAGTCACACAAAAGAATGTAGGCTTAATAACCCCATCCATCTGTCTATCCATCTATGTATCTATAACAATAGTCTTAATTTACAATAGGCATAATTTTAAAACAACATACATCTATTGCAGTTATGATGTCATAATAACACAATTGTATAAAACACTGTTTGCTTACATATTTGTTCTCTTTTGAGAATCAAACAAAACAGATTTTAATTAAATAAAAAATGCAAACAAACAAGTGAAATGAACTAAATGGCTGAATTGCTTTTAATTCACTGGCAGGAGCGACAAGTGAGGAGGAGCAAAAAGTGAACAACGAGGGAGAGGTTGAACAAAGAGAAATAGTAGAGGACATAGAGACTAAAGAAGATGGAAGAGAGGCTGCAGGGTATGGAACAACACATCCTCACTCCCAGGTCGGCCTATGTTGACGTTATGTCAAGTCCCCTGTCGGCTTTTTCCAACGCAAGGTGGGGGGCCTTAGCGTCCATTTTCAACGCAAGGGGGGGGGCCTTAGCGTCCATTTTCAGCTTTCCGGGATGTCCATATGCTTCTATGGACGCTCATGGAAGCACGGCGTTCGTTTGTGTCGACTGCCCTTAAAGGCAATGTGAGCGTCCATTCTCATTGGATAACGGAGAATTGTACACCCGGAAGTAAGTATTCCCCTTACTGTCGATTGATTTTACAGTGATATCTGCACTACTCATCGACTAAAAAACACCAGATTATCCTTGTTAATTACACAACATTGATTGGTTTAAATTGTGTGCAATGCTTTTGTATTTTTCCCCTTCGATTCGGAGAAACAAATGTTTTTTCGGAGTAAAGGATGGCAGAAGACACTACACCATGTGCTCTGTTTGACAAACCCCGTGATAGTCCTCAAGCTCTGTGATTGGAGAGTGTGCTCCGAGGGTTACGCCGAGCCTCGAACAGCACTTGAAATGGGATGGAACCACGCAGACTGTCCAAAACTGGATTTGAACGGGTCCACCGCGTCCCCCCTCCCCCACCCTGTCCCCAGAACTACAAATGCTGGCTATTCTGTTTCGCAACATGTTCTGTATCTATGGCACGTCTCTACTGGGAGTTGTAGTTTTAAAAGACGTTTTCGTATTTCCCATAATAAGAAGTTGCCAGTATTAAACTGTGTACATCCCTGGAGGTTTAGGGGATAGGAAACACTCACATTTAAAACATATAATTAATAAATGGGTGAAAATTGCTTGTGCCCATAATGGGCAGCATTAATATATATATATACACACATGCCAGCTAAGGTCAGAAGAGCTTTATTTAACAGCTGGTCTTATGTTTGTGACCCCTGTTGTTAATTGATAACATTACATTACATTACATTAATTGATAAGCCTGAAACATGCACTTGTCAAGGTTCAGAGGCACATTTTGCAAATATGGCAGTATAGCCATCGATCAGCTTAAGATAAGATATACTTTATTGATCTCAAGTTGGAACATTTGCGTTACATCAGCATGTGTAACAGTTAAATATGCAGTGGTGTTTATTTGTAAATCATTTAGTATAATCACACAAATTCTGTGTTTTATATTCAACAATTCTGTGTTCTTTATTTATTGATTGTTCAATACCTGACAAGGTCGGAGATGAAATATCTACATACATCTTATAAGAGTATAATACATGATGTATAATATCAGTTAAAATAAGTGCTTCAACATAGTTAACATTGCTGGAGGTACGCACAAATATTGATAGATGTCTTGTAATGCACTATTGAGGAACCTGCGACCCAAGTTTTTCATTCAATGCATAACTACACCATAGTTGTGTAGGCCTATATGATATGTCAATAAACCTTAGAAAATGTTGAAATCTTGAAAGGGATGTGCAAAATAGTCATTATATACAGTCTTTAATGAACTATTAGTAGAGAATAACGAGTAATTAATATACTTTATAGGGATCCTATTAATATCTAATGATAAAAATAATGAAATTCAATAACATGCTTTAACCACTAGGTGTCCCTTTATATCAGGTGTGCACCTTTATGGTGTAAATACAGCCTATCTACCAATTGGATCAAATATAAAAGTCAGCCGAATTAGTGTTGATACTGCAAGGAGACGTATTGTGTGAAAAGAAATGTAAGATGTTGTTTAATGGCTGATATATTTATGATCCACGTCACGTTTTCAGTTCCTCATGTTTGTCTAGAAGTCTTCTCATCAGGGCTCTATAAATACAGAACTACGGCAGATATGTAATATTTAATGCAGCCGAACCGTGTATTACAATGCCGTTATGTGATGACTTCCAAAGAGAAAAGCAAGCACACTCGGAATAAAGTATTATTGTATTTTTTTTCAATGTTTTCGGTCTGTTTCCGTTATTTGTTAATGACGATGTGCTGTGAGATGTGAGACTGGAATTGCACAGGGGAAAATAACGTAGGCTATCTTTAGATGCGGATTTTGTTAAACTAATATGTTTTCGCTGTGGACCAACACTATACATTGACGGGGAAGGGGGTAGCAATAAAGATAACACCATTAAACAGTTACACAACATAACAGAAATAATATCGATAGCAGCGTCCCTAGCAACCACCTTGGTAACAATGAAAACGTTATGGACGCAATATCCTGAAGTAATATTCGTAATAACTAGCAAACTAAAGATCATGTACATCCACTGCACACATAATCTGAAATAACAACTCATATTTCTCGCATCAAATGACATCAAAACGCATTTTAATGGCCAAACTAACTTTAAAATAGGCATTTTCCATCGAGAATAAAACGAAGTTCGGCCATGTTTTGTTTTTCTTCAGGGAGAAATTTGAAGATCACGTGACGTCAAGCAGAACACATGGTGTAGTCCAAACGATAGCTGGGGATTCTGGGTAGTGTAGTGTCTTCTGCCATCCTTTACTCCGAAAACATATTTGTTTCTCCGAATCGAAGGGGAAAAATACAAAAGCATTGCACACAATTTAAACCAATCAATGTTGTGTAATTAACAAGGATAATCTGGTGTTTTTTAGTCGATGAGTAGTGCAGATATCACTGTAAAATCAATCGACAGTAAGGGGAATACTTACTTCCGGGTGTACAATTCTCCGTTATCCAATGAGAATGGACGCTCACATTGCCTTTAAGGGCAGCCGACACAAACGAATGCCGTGCTTCCATGAGCGTCTATAGAAGCATATGGACATCCCGGAAAGCTGAAAATGGACGCTAAGGCCCCCCCCCCCTTGCGTTGTAAAAAGCCGACAGGGGACTTGACATAACGTCAACATAGGCCGACCTGGGACTGAGGATGTGTTGTATGGAAAGGAGAGAGACATGGAGAGTGAATGTTGACAATGTGTTGTGATCATCTGCATGTCCAGATCGTAACAATCAACTGATTCTTATGTATTACACTTTCAAAAATAATTGATGCTGACATTGTCAGCCCACTGACATGATTTGAAATCAATATATTATCCAATGTGTGACCCCCCACAGGACTGAAAAAGCACCCAACTAGATCATGAAAATCCCAAAAATCTCGGGGTGTATCCCCCGAACCCCCTAACATGTTTGGACCTCGGTATTTAGGAAATCCTGGATACGGCCCTGGCAGGGACTATGCCGAACGGGTGTCCACACTAAGTTCGGTATCGATATGGTGCTCCTAGGGGAGCCCGGGACCACCAGGTCGTCTAAGGAGGGGGCACCGGCCCAGGTCGGACACGGAGCAGGTCAAAGCCCCCGTGCCGCTCAGTAGTGGGATCGCGCCTGTGAATAGACGCTGCAGTGAAGCCTGAGCAATACAGCGGGACCCAGTCTTTATACACTCGGTATACTCTGAACACACACCTGGGACAACACACACACACTCAACAACATGTGTACATGTTACAGCAGCTCCTTCTCTCTACATTTATTTTGTTCTTCACGTGGAAACCTTCACAAACCACTTCTGTGTGTTTGTCCTGCACCGCCGCCTTCTGGAGGAGAGCAGCAATTGCTTCCATGTTTCCATGAGGAGCATCAATCCCCAGTTGATTTATTTTTAACGTTTCCATTTAATATTCTAACTTCTGTTGTCTCATTCCACTGAAAAACATCGAAATGAAATATATATATTGTGATGTGTAACAGATATACACAGCATACAAAGTAATTAAAACTAGCTGCACCTTTAATCAATCAAACCATAAACAAGGTGGCCTGTTGGGATTACTATATATATATCTGCATTATTTTATCCCACTTTATGCTTTGCACTTGCTGCTTGTTTTACACTGATTTTATATCTTATTTCTTACTGATGTAAAGCACTTTGAACTGCAATCCCCTGTGTGAAAGGTGCGATACAAATAAAGTTATTATTATTCAGATGGATGTTTCTGCCCCTCTGTTCATTCTCCCATTCTCCTCCTCAATCTGCCTAGAAGTATTTTAATGTTGTAGCTGTTACATAACCAATACTAATGCTAGGGCTGCAACTGACAGTTATGTATAGGCACATTGTTATTGTTTCTTATCGCTGTGTGATTAAAATAATAAATACAAATAGCAGGATAGGCAATGCAAAACTTTATTTCGTACCTTCATACACACATAACACAACATTAGAATGAGCTTTTATCAACGCTTACATGATGATAACCTGTCAACATGACAGGAAAATCCACATGACATTAATACAGAGCGGGCAGAACCCAAATCTAGCTCCAGTGCCGCACGAAACATGTTTTCGATGGACGAGAGTGAAAATGGAACGCACACGCCATTTGTTGTTTGTTTATATCACGGTCTGTTCTTCTTCTGTCTTCCGTCGGCGAGTCCTCTGGTGACTGCTTGGTGTGTCAGGGCCTTAAAGGGAATTCACATGAGCTGTGTTACTGTACTGCAGAGGGGATGAGGCTGTCACAGGATTAGTTAAAGTCAAAATGCAGACAAGCTTTACAATGTGCCCCTATTTTAAGATCAAAACATCATGTTGACACAGACACGGTGAATTAATACACACCAAACAAGTTTGCATTTATTTCAAGGGAACACATAAAGTAAAAACATTCACATATTATTTCCATGACCTAAGAAAGTAAAATCAATGACTGTGAACATGAGCTAGTCCCTCTCACAGCCAGACACCTGAAAAGAAGGTTTCAACTTGTGATGTCATCAAGTATAGTCTAAATCAGCTCTAAACAATGAAGGAGAGATCTTTTTTTAATATAGCAATCTTCTTATGAGCAGTTCCACACTTTGTACAATGGTAAATGTTATAGGTGGATTGCATTTATAAGGTGCTTCTCCAGTCTTTATGATCCCTCAAAGACCTTCAGGAAACTAACATTCAGAGATACTCAGAGTTGGTCATAGGAGGAAGTATCTAGCCCAAGGAAACATCAACATGTTGACTGTATAGGCTGGGATCAAACCCCAAACCTTCAGACGACCCCACCACCTATAACAGTCGCCTAAACTTGACGACAGCACACATTTAGGTTTTTCGAACTCTCGTTTTTTAGATTTAATAGAGAGTTCACCATATTGTTTTCGGAATGTCTTAGACTATAGGAATAACATTAATATAAATGGTTCCGCTTTAGGACCTCCACTCTGGGTCTTCCAGGATATCCACCGCTGGTGTTCCTGTATTGTCCAGCAGGGAGCTCCACTTTGGGGCTTCAATGGCTTCCAGGAGAGTAGCCAGCTCAACCTCCAACTTCTCCACTGTGTCCTCCACTTTCTGCAGCAGGAACAAGACATATTTGCGTGGTTGACATAATGAATAATGCATTCATTACTTGTGTTGTGAATAGTAGAATTATCACACATGATGAGTAAGGCAATCATTTAATCATATGACTTATACAGATGCCCAATACCTGGCTGCTAAATTCTCATAACTGTTACAGGATGTGTGTTTTTTTAAATGTGTAACTTTTTTTTATTATTATTTTTTTTAATCTTTAATACTTTTTTATGCATGCTTAGGTTACATTAAGCTGTGTTTGGCTCTTTCCTGCTGTAACAATGTAAATGTCCCCTCTGTGGGACTAATAAAGGTATTCTGATTCTGAAAACATCTGGTTTAACTAAGTTATCTAAGTTAGCGTGGGGGTTGTCCGATGAATGTGGGCTGATCAGCGTTTTTGGAAAAGTAGACAAATATTTGGGTTTTAATGGGCAGTGAGCCACAGCTTTTTAAATAACTTAAATACTGAGGATTTTCTGGCAGTCGGAGAGAAAGCAAAAAATGTGATAAAGCTGAAAATATTGGCAAAAATAAACATAGAGAATCCTGATGGTTTAAACGACCACTGAGCACTGAAAGTAGTTTGGTTTGGAAACAGCACCTTCTCCACTACATCCAGGCGGGTGTGTAGGCTGTTGTGTTCTTGACAGGCACTTGAACGCACCACTTGAGGCAGCAGATCAGCTTCAGGTCCTGCAAACAGAAAATAAGCATATCAGAGGGGAATTAGAAACAAGATCTTTAAAATAATGAGGGACAATTGGAAATGCTTAAGTCTAACATTCAATCAAGTAACTTTTTGCACTTAATATAAGGAGAGTGTTCCGCCTTGAGTCTTTCTCATGATGCTCTTGGTGTGACTTCACTTCAACATGGTGGTTAGGGCCACATGCATTGTTCCAGCCCCCCCCACAGTAATGTTTCCAATTATCTGTTTCTCTTTGAAGCCAACATATTTGTTTGAAGCCAGCGGTCTCTGGCAGGATGTGCTTCCTTTTCTAGCACCTTCTGTGGCTGCAGGCCATCTCCCATTGATAGGAACAAGACTTTATACATACTCATAGAAGCTGGAGTTACAGCAGGTAACTTCAGTTTTTTTTTTTGTATAAACCAAAAGGCAAAGAGCTGGTCACCTCCAATGAGCCAACATACCTGGGCTCTTTTCGAACTCAACTGTACAACCCTAAACTGGTTTTATTAAATGGAAAATATCAGCCAATCAAACCCCTTTTATGCAAATATGCCAGTACAAGCGCTAACCAATCAAACCGCGTGTATGCTGGGAGAGCTAGACCGCAGTTCATTTCCTCATATAACAAAATATGGAGGAGAAAATAATCGTAGCGGTAGGGAATCACCCGGTGCTTTATGATCAGTCTCTGTTCACCTCCCGGGATACAAACCGGAGGAGCCAGGCATGGAGGGAGGTGGCAGAGACAGTGGGTGAAACTGGTAGGTTTTCGCCTGTTTGGGGATTTTATATCCAGTTTACTTCGTTTTAATGGACAGCTAGCAGGCATAGACAGTATTTAGCCAGCATGGAATGTTGCGTAAAATTGCACCATAGACATTAATGTCATAAATGTTCATCATGTAAAGTGTGACATGTAAAACATTTTATGCAATTGACAGGAGAGATTCATGTGATTGGTTGTTGGTCGCGTTGCTCGCGTAAACTCCCCAAGCTCAAGACACGCCCACTGCCAAGCGGCAACGCACGCCGCCGTGTGTAGGGGCCGTTACACACGGCGGCGTGCGTTGCCGCTTGAATGCTTCTGCCCATTCACTTTGAATGGGGTGACGTCACGATTCGCCGAACTGCATTGTGGGAGCAAAGCGTAGCTTCTCTCGCGGTGCTTGCTGCAAAAGTGGAGCAATGTTCTACTTTTGCCGCCTCGACGGAGGCGTCAGCCAATCAAATCCCGCGTATGCAAATCTGACAGTACAAGCGCTAGCCAATCAAACCGCGTGTATGTTGGGAGAGCCAGACCGCAGTTATTTCCCATATGTCAAAAAATGGAGGAGAAAATTATCGTGGCGGTAGGGAATCACCCGGTACTATATGACCAGTCCCTCTTTACATACAGGGATACAAACCGGAGGAGCCAGGCATGGGGGGAGGTGGCAGAGACAGTGGGTGAAACTGGTAGGTTTTCGCCTGTTTGGGGATTTTATATCCAGTGTACTTCGTTTGAATGGACAGCTAGCAAGCATAGACAGTATATTTAGCCAGCATGGATGTAGCATGAGCTTTGCTATGTATGTCCGGGGTGGGACATTCATATGATTGGTTGTTGGTCGCGTTGCTCGCGTTGGTCGCGTTGCTCGCGTTGACTCCCCAAGCTCAAGACACGCCCACCGCCAAGCGGCAACGCACGCCGCCGTGTGTAGGGGCCGTAACAGCCCCTACAAACGGCAGCCGTCTGTCTGCAGACTTGTCAAAGCATTAATTCATGGTTTTTACTAACCGGTATCAGTATGTTGTTACTTCGGCATAATTTTGAAACGTGTATTACAATTAAATCACGGTAAAATATTTTCATTTTGTTGTAGTTGTCAGCGATTCTCTCACTAGTTTAGCATACTCAGCCCCGTTGTTGGCCAGGAAAGAACCTCAATTTTGGAGAGCCAGAAAAACTGTGAAAAAGTACCCGCTAGCCGGAACTACGCCTAGTAGAAACGCAACCAAAAACGGGTCGGGCACGGCACGCTTAAACCATGCTCCGTGCTGTAGTGCGCCATAAGAGATTTCCTACACAGCATCTGGAGTTAGAAGTCATTAAAGTGTTGGTTTCCTGTTGTTGCATTTCAAAACGACCACATTTTTCAGCTGTAGTGGAATGTGCTGCTAGATAACACATCAGCACAATGTGCCTCAGTTTGAGTGTCAGTGTGTGTTGATGTGGAAAGCTGCAACAGAGAGTATACATGCTGATGTTCCTGATGAATGCTGTTATGAGAAGGAAAAGTGTCTGTGCTGGATGCAAGAAGCAGATGTGAGGTTTTATTATAAATCTGAGTTTCCAAAAATGTTTGTGTTGGCTTTTGCCTTTTGTCCAGCTCATATGAATAATTCCCCCCTGCCAGAAGTATTCTAGGAGGTTGTGGAATCACACAGGAACCCCTTCACACTATTAGGAAATACAGCACCGGAAAAGCAAACAGATATGATGAACCCACTGACAAATTCCACCCAGGGATAGAGGTGAATGACCGTGTGTGTGTGTGTGTGTGTGTGTGTGTGTGTGTGTGTGTGTGTGTGAAATAGTGCATGTGCTCTCTCTGCAGGAAAGAGGGAGCTCAGCCAAGTCCACAATTGTTTGTGTGGCTCTGTGTATGTGAATGTGTGCATGTCTGTAGTTGCACCTATTAACTAAATGAACCATGATCATTTTTTTCACAAATTATTTCAACAATTCATTTGAAACTTTTGTAAAATGTAATCACAGCAGCAAGACACCATCTAAACCCATCAGGTTACACAATGAAAATAGTTTCCCCAGGGTTCTGGAAGCTCGGCCGTAAGTCTGGCCAGAGCATCTTTTTCAAATGTAGATTAAGAAATGTATTCTTCTAAAGCAGGGGTACTCAAATACAAATCTTAAAGGTCCAAAATAAATGTTTCAATAAGACAAAGGTCCGTTTATTACGGTCATTCAAACTTTTAAACAATTGCAACAAGATTCTTAACACGAGGTTGCAAAAACAAAAATAATCTGTATGCAGCAGTTTTCATTGTTATTGTGTCTGTGCTTGACCCCTCAGAGTCGCAGTGTAAGAGCTGCACAGTTATGAATAAAGGCAGCTGCACCCTCTTTCATTCAGCATTCCCATTATTGCTTTATAAATGTATTGCCCCCTTGTGTGTCCACTGAGGTTCGTCAGGCCCAACACATCTTCAACAAACTCCCCCTTTGCCTCATCATAAAAACTCACAAACACCAGCAACTGAGCATTGTCAGTGGTGTCAGTGGACTCACCCACAGCTAAGGAAATGCACTGTGCATTTTCTATTTCATCACAAAGCTGATGAATCAAATCACCAGCCAGTATTTATGTTCTTCTGGTTGCTGTGCAATCTGAGAGGGGATTTGCTTGATTTGACCTGTTATTTCCTCTTTTTGTTTGCCTTCAACATGGTCTCCATCACTTCAGTCATGCATTCTTTTATACTGCAGTTATTGTCCAGTGGACAGTCCTTACCTACTGGCCTAGTTCAATCAAAGTGGTTACTTTTTTTTGGCTGGGCAGTGTAGTTTTAAACACCGTCTTCTTTGACTTTCTCAGGACTTAAAACAGTTTTTTGGGGGCAGACCCCCTCAAAGAAAACAATATATTTACACACGTAAGGTCATCATCTTAATCGTTTTTTATGCTCATCCGTGAGCAGAGCATCAAGTTGACATGTCTATTACAGCTGAATGCGGCGATTACCATCTTGTTCAGCGAAACGCCTCACAAACGTATTAAGATCAACAGCTTTAGTGCGTTTTGATTCAATGCTGAGTACAGTCAAACTGACAGTCTCTTCTCTGTCATTGTAGACCGCAAATACCTCATTCCTTCAGTGCTTGGGTCCGAATGCTTCTCGTTTTGCGCCGTCCAGTTAAAAAATGAAATCGCCGCCAAATCGTATGTCCACGCTCGCGCCAGGACCGGGGGAGGGGTTACATGACGTGCATCTTGTGCTGCATTCACTTGCACTCGGACATTAGAGACTTTCTCTCATAAATGTCCGATGAGCCACAGCTTTTCTTTCAAAACAAAGCTGCCAACTGGGGTGGCAGCTGGGGTGGCAAGGCTATTTTTAGGGTGTCCGTTGCCACCCCGGTAGGTGAAACTAGGCTACTAGCTACAGTACAGATGGAACTAGATGAGCTGTTAACTCTCGCTCTGAATTTTTTTTGTTTTTGTTTTAATTCTCGCTCTGACTTAGACAGGTTGAAAGAGACACACACATTTTTCCCACCCGCATTCCGCGAAGACCCGCCCTACTGTGCCTCTGATTCGCAGATTGTTTGGGGGGAAAAAACGCTGACTGGATGCTGAATGTGATTGGACCAAAGCGTTGACACACACAGGTGGAACACAGTGGAACAGTCAGACATGCAGAGCGCTGTTTGCAGTGGACATAGCGGAGAATTTTGACTCGTTGCGAATGCGTTGTGGCGAAGTCTCACATATAATACAGAGAGATCATACATATGAAAAGTATCATTTGCTCAGAGTCCGGAGACAGTGGTGGTTCGGTCCGGATCCGGACCGGAGTCCGTAGTTTGAGGATGCCTGTTCTAAAGTAATAACTCAGGTTGGTTAACAGTATCAAGTTTGGTTGAGAGACACACTGACACAAATATATGTTTTTCAATGGCTTTCAGTGCTTAAACGTCAACTGACATTTCCAGTGTTTAACATTTCAACCCAGATATCTCACCTGCTAAAGGGCTGCAACCTCATCTGTAGCCAACCACTTAAAAACAACACAATGTTTCCAATGCGCGCTTATTTCCTCAGAAATATGAGGCCATATAGGGTGCATTTCTCATTTTCTTTCCATTGCAGGTTAATTGTTTCTGACTTACATATCCAAGACTATATTTTTGCAGGGAGGTGGCTTAAAAAAGGCGTTAAACAACTACTGCTTCTATCTTTCTATATAACAATATTTAAATTAGATTAAATGCTTGTGTCTGTGTGGTTGGAAGCAAGTGTGTGTGTCTGTGTGTGTGTGTGTGTGTGTGTGTGTGTGTGTGTGTGTGTGTGTGTGTGTGTGTGTGTGTGTGTGTGTGTGTGTGTGTGTGTGTGTGTGTGTGTGTGTGTGTGTGTGGTGTGTGTTGTGTGTGTGTGTGTGTGTGTGTGTGTGTGTGTGTGTGTGTGTGTGTGTGTGTGTGTGTGTGTGTGTGTGTGTGTGTGTGTGCGTTCACTTTGCCTCCTGCAGTTGGTCATTCCTGCAGTATGCAGTCAGAGTAATTCACACTTGAGGCTGTCCGTCGCAGATTTGGCTCTCGAGGATTGACTCACATTTCTGTGATTTTCCGTTGGACTTTAGTAATACTGGTAAACACTCTGGTTAGGAGCGGGCAGAAGAACATGAAGAGTGACTGTTTTCAAACTATGTCGACACACTTTGAAATTAGAAGCAGATGTGCTGAAAACACACACACACGTATGGACATTAACTCCCATGATGTCCGATGTTTCTCTACACACACATCTGTGCAATAGATCAGATGTGTTGCAACAAAGACATAATGTATGTACAAGGCATGACTGGCACCATAATATATTTTAACTGCACAACATAAGTCATCTTTATAGTCAATCAGCACACCTTCATCACAGCTGACCCACTCAGTTCCCAGCTGTCTGACCTTTGACCCCTCCCTCCCCCCTCCCTCCTTTCAACACCCAGCTACATCTCTTACCTGCAGCAGCGTAGCCAATCAGAATGAAGATGAGTCCAACCGAGGAAGTGAAGAAGCCGGTCATGATGAACCCTGGCGAGCAGCTGAAGAGTGTAGCGTGTTTAAGAGATAAAACACAAAAGACAGAAGAATCTGCTCTGATTCAGACTGAAAGCAAAAATATTTCTCCTCACCCTCTCTCCCTCTTTGCCCTGTACGCTCTCCTGCTCTCTTATCCTTCCCACGTTGACTCGGTTGCGCCCAGTTTTCTAATGGAAACATGAATTGCAGAACAAAAAGCTCAGTATCTGGGAGGGGGCGGGGGTAGTTCTGGGGAGGGGTCTCAGATCGGAGTTCAACCACAGGCTGGCTTCAGAACTGGTGAACTGTGCTTGGTTCGTCATGTGGTGTTAGATTGTTGTTGAATTTGTGATGACTGGCATCAAAATGCGGTTCTTAATTTTATGAAAAAAAGGAAAAATCTAACTTTTTTTCTTTTCAACAAAAAAGTCAAATCAATCCATTTACTATTAAAACATTTTAAAGTTAACAGTATCTAATTCTAACATCTTAAATGGGAGTATTTACTGTTTTAAACAAAAAATCCTGTATGACAATCAAGTGATTATCTTTGAGTTTTGGATAAACAAAACACCTGAGGATGTCATATTGCGCATAGTAAAGACCAATCAACATCTTTTGCCATTTTATGACACTTTAAAATGCAAAGCAATCGCTATCAACAATTACAATAATCAGATGTATGATCATAGTTGAAGCCCTACATCTGTTGACAGTGCAGCTAAATGTTTAAAATGCCTGTGATGCATTAAAGATGAGTTCTCTTGCTGCACTCAAGGTTAGATTAAAGTAGACAAGCTCTTATCTGTTTATCTGTTACTTAAGGCCCTGACACACCATGCAGTCACCAGAGGACTCGCCGACGCCGGCTGTTGCGTCGCCCATCGCCCGTCGCCCGTCGCCGTGTTCTCCTGCGTATTGGCCATGTGTCGCACGGGAACACACCGCAAAGACTTCAGTGCGTGAGTGGCAATAACGGCCCGTCTACACTACAGGCGTCAAAAAATGCTTTCAACGCTTCGCCCATTCATTTGAATGGGGTGATGTAGGATCTTTTCAAACTTCGCCGAACTGCATTGTGGGTAGCATGGCAAGGCGTTGCAAGCATCGCGATCGTCTATCGGCGTCAAAAGTTGAACAATGTTCAACTTTTGAGGCTCGATGCTTGCTCGAAGCTGGCGTCAGCCAATCAAATCCCGTTTTTGCAATTCCCGCCAGTACAAGCGCTAGCCAATCAAACCACGTGCAAGCTGGGAGAGCCAGACCGCAGTTCATTTCCTCATATTCCAAACGAGAAATTACGGTAGCAAATCACCCGGTTCTTTCCGACCAGAACTATTTACCGGGATACAAACCGGAGGAACCAGGCATGGAGGGAGGTGGCAGAGACAGTGGGTGAAACTGGTAGGTTTTCGCCTGTTTGGGGATTTATATCCAGTTTACTTCGTTTTAACATTGCTATTGGTTTGTATATCGGGGGCGGGAGATTCATGTGATTGGTTGTTGGTCGCGTTGCTCGCAAAAAATCGCCAAGCTTCAGACACGCCCAGCTTCAAGCTTTTTCGATGCCTGTAGTGTAGACGGGCCGTAACTTTCCTTACCAGCAGGCGGCGGTAGTATGTATTCGTCATTCAAAAAAGGCAACAACCGGAAGAGAGAGAAAAAGAACAGACCGTGATATAAACAAACAAATAGCGTGTGCGTTCCATTTTCACTCTCGTCCATCGAAAATATGTTTCGTGCGGCACTGGAGATAGATTTTGGTTCTGCCTGCTCTGTATTAATGTCATGTGGATTTTCCTGTCATGTTGACAGGTTATCATCATGTAGGCGTTGATACAAGCTCATTCTAATGTTGTGTTATGTGTGTATGAAGGTACGAATTAAAGTTTTGCATTGCCTATCCTGCTATTTGTGTTTATTCTTTTAATCACACAGCGATAAGAAACAATAACAATGTGCCTATACATAACTGTCAGTTGCAGCCCTAGCATTAGTATTGGTTATTTAACAGCTACAACATTAAAATACTTCTAGGCAGATTGAGGAGGATATGGGAGAATGAACAGAAACATTCATCTGAATAATAATAACTTTATTTGTATCGCACCTTTCATACAGGGGATTGCAGTTCAAACTAAGTGCTTTACATCAGTAAGAAATAAGATATAAAATCAGTGTAAAACAAGCAGCAAGAGCAAAGCATCAAGTGGGATAAAATAATATATATTATATATAGTAATCCCAACAAGCCACCTTATTTATGGTTTGATTCAGTTTTAGTAGAATATACAATACATGAATGATGAAATGAGCACATAAAATGCAGACATACTATAATGATATTGAGGTACTTGAGACTAATCCTGCAACTGTATAGTTCTGCTCCACAACAGTTAGAGAATGAAGAAACCATCAAGTATGAAAGGCTACATGTGAATAGAGGGGCAGAAAACGGCTTGCACATTACATTTCAATCTTGAACAATGAACAGCAGTAGACAGTATCTCATTTAGGATCATCATCCTGCGCTTCGCCGGAGGCCTTCGAGTGCTGAGTGTGCTTGGCCTCTCTCCGAAACGCGGTGCCGGTGTGGTGCAGATGGTGGATTCTGCCAGGGGAGTGCAGGGCTCAGCATCAAAGTGGAAGGACTCCTCGGTGGTGCTGGTACAGGTTTCACTGCTGGTGCCACCGGGGGTTGATTCTGCAGCCACCGGACGTTCCTTAATTTTTTAAAAATAAATTCACAGTTAGTTGGATTTAATACCATGGCTTCTTAAAACTGTTTACTAAGCATTCATAACAAAACAATACCCTGAAATGTGTGTGCCATTAGTTTGGGGTGTGGTCAAGTGTGAGAGGTACATTGTAGACACATTGTGATGCTCTATTCAGATGCTAAAGACATACTTCTAGAATATTCAGAACACTACAAAATATAAGACATATTTTATCATGTATTATTATAGGTTAAGATAAAAGCGTTATTGATCCCATGGTGAATTTCATAAGCTACCCAGCAGTATATCATGTAATTTCAATTAGCTCCTCCTTTACCAGCTGCAACATTAAGGTGATGAGCACATCAATAATTATAATACAATAATATATATATTATTCTGTTATTGTTATATTTAACCACCAAATGAATGAAAATAATGTTTTTGTAAATGAAAGAAGCAAGAAACACTTATTTGTACTCAACAAATAAAATAGTTACCGTGATGGTGAGGTTCGAAGTACTCTCCTTCCTTCTTGTGTGCTCTAAAAACTGCAGCCTGGTTATGATCCACTGCTGTCTGCCAGTCCTTTGTGCTCCACAACTACCCGAAGGTGCAAGTCTCCTGTACCGGGTGTACTGGGTTCGCATATAATCCCAATTCTTCCTCAGCTCTTTCTCTGAAGCACACAAATAAACGATGTAAGCATTGTGGCTAGTTAGCATGTCCAATTCATATCTATATGCAGTGCCAAACTGCACAGCTAGCAACAAGATAACAACAAAACGCAAGGTTGAAATAACAAATTACATTTCACGTTAACGTTACTGTACGCTGGCAAACAATACAAAGCCAACAGTATCTGCTAAAGAGCTCAATTGATGAAAAAGATAATCTTACCCGAGAAACCAAGTTGCGTTTCAATCTCTCGCCAGAGTCCGGTTTTCACTACTCGGTTCGAGTACCTTTTCTCTGTGATGTCGTACAGAGCTGGCCTCTCCTGGATCAAGGTGATGAGCAGGTCTTCGTTTCCGTCATTTCAGATCGCCATGATGAGATCAAAATGAATAGCAGTCTGTGTGTGCCTTCTTAAATCGTTTGTTTACGTCCCTCACTTCCGTTTCGCTTCTCATGCACTGATTCGCTAGCTGAACAGCCAATCAGAGTGATTGTTTGGTCCGACTGCCTGACCCGATGCATGGCATCTTGACCTTTCATCTAGAACCCACCTCACCTCTGCCCACTTTGACAACCTAGGATGGCTTAGAGTAGACGACAGAGTACAGCTACTTGCAATGGGACTGGTCTACAAGATCCACTACACCTCTATGGTACCCATGTACATGTCAATATTCTTCCCAAAGGTCAAGGAATACTATGATCATAACACCACAGGGAGCTCCACAAATCATGTGAAACCCATATTTGGCGCAAAAAAGGGGGAATACACGTTTCGCAATTATGCCACATCAAGGTGGAACGCTCTTCCCACAACTGTAAAGGAAAGTAAAACTATACTTACCTTCAAAACCTCTCTTAAAGAGCACCTTCGGGGGAGAGCATTGCAAAACTGGCCCCGGTAATGGTACAAATCTCAACCTGTCGTACAATGGACAGCTTCCCCCCCCCATCTATGTATATACTCGCATTTTAGACTCTGTTACTAACTGTATATCTGTAGACTTGGTATGTCTTAAATGTCCGGTTAGGATGTATTAGAACAAAATCTAAAATGAAAATTGTAAATAAGCAATCTGTATGTAAAAAACCACCTGTATGTAAATTGTAAATAAGCCATCTGTATGTCAAATATGTCTTATATGTCTTAAATGATATGATGAATTGGAAATGGGGGACCCTGATGTAAACAAGACGAAAATCTTTCTCTGGTCTGCATCCCCTTAACAATTGTATGTTTTGAGCTGTACTGTACTGTACCCAATATACAAGCTGTTAATAAACTTTTCAATCAATCAATCAAGCCTATTCAACATGTTGAATCGGCCATGCATCGGGTCAGGCAGTCCAAATAAGGCGTGTCACGGCCGACGGTGCGGGACACACCAAATTGAGTTTGGGCGCCAGGACACGCTTCGTCTTCCGACTTACGAAAACAGCCGAAATCGGCCTGGTGTGTCAGGGCCTTTAAACTATATTGTTGGGAGGATAACAGGAGCTGCTGATCTCTTTCTGAGAAGATCAGTCAGTGTTTGTGTTCGGCAGGAAGTCAGAGATATCAACATCCATTCAGCAGCAGAGAAGGCCCTTTATGATCACAATTATTGGTTCCTGTTATTGTCACTGAATTTACTTTTCTCTCTCTGGCTCTGTCTCTGCGACTCACACACCTACCAACACACACCTCTAAACCCACACACACAGAGCCTGGCTTAATGAAGAGAACCACGTTCACTGCGTAACGTCTTGGCTGTCTTCGGCCTCCGGCTCTCGTCTGGCCTCTTAAGCAGATCTTCAGGTTAAGCAGCAGAAAATAAAAATGGAGGAAAAGTGAGT